GTCATAGTATAGTAAGGCATAAAAAGTCATAAAAACGTCATAGTAGAGTAAGGCATAAAAAGTCATAAAAACATCATAGTATAGTAAGGCATGAAAAGTTATAAAAATGTCATAGTATAGTATGGCATGAAAAGTCATAGTGCATAAAAAGTCATAAAAACGTCATAGTAGAGTAAGGCATAAAAAGTCATAGTATAGTAAGGCATAAAAAGTCATAAAAACGTCATAGTATAGTAAGGCATAAAAAGTCATAAAAAAGTCATAGTATAGTAAGGCATAAAAAGTCATAGTATAGTAAGGCATAAAAAGTCATAAAAAAGTCATAGTATAGTAAGGCATAAAAAGTCATAAAAAAGTCATAGTATAGTAAGGCATAAAAAGTCATAGTATAGTAAGGCATAAAAAATCAAAAAAAAGTCATAGTATAGTAAGGCATGAAAATACATAAAAACGTCATAGTATAGTAAGGCATAAAAAGTCATAAAAATGTCATAGTATAGTAAGGCATAAAAAGTAATAAAAACGTCATTGTATAGTAAGTCATAAAGAGTCATAAAAAAGTCATAAAAATGTCATAGTATAGTATGGCATGGAAAGTCATAGTATAGTAAGGCATAAAAAACCTCATAGTATGGTAAGGCATAAAAAGTCATTGTATAGTAAGGCATAAAAATGTAAAAAAAAACATAGTATAGTAAGGCATAAAAAGTAATAATATAGTAAGGGATAAGAATGTCAAAAAAACGTCATAGTATGGTAGGTCATACTACAGTTAGGCATAAAAACTTCAAAAAAACATAGTATAGTTAGGCATAAAAATGTCATAGTATAATAAGGTATAAAAAGTCAAAGGATAGTAAGACAAAAAAACACATCAGAATCAGAATCTGTTTTATTGGCAAGAGGGTTCTTCAACATACAAGGAATTTTCTTTGGTGTTTTGGTGTATGGCATTACAAATAGTAAGAAGAAAAGAAACAAACAAAGATGAAACAAGCAAGTACAGCAGGTCAGATATCTTAGATATAAATAGAACACTTTAACAATGAGATAAAACATTATAGAAAAGAATAAAAAAATATAAATACATACAAATATGTATGAGGTATGTAGGTCCTGGAGAGTTGGCAGATTGCAGCCGATCACCTTATCAGCACAGTGAATGGTATGCAGTCTGCTCTTGTCCTTGGCAGGAAGTGAGGATTGACTCAATGATGGCAGTGTATAAGTTCACCATCCTCTGCTGAACTTTCTTGGCATATATAGTAAGGCTTAAAAAATGTCATAGTATAGGAAGGCATAAAAATCAACAGTATAGTAAGTCAGAAAAACATCAAAGTATAGTAAGCAATAAAAATGTCAGTATAGTAAGGCATAAAAACGTCATTGGCAAGAAGGTTTTCCAACATACAAGGAATTTGCTTTGGGGTTTTGGTGCATGACAATAAACATAGTAAGAAGAAAAGAAATATAAACAGGGATGACACAAGCAAATATTGCAGGTTGGATATCTTAGATATAAATAGAACATTTTAACAATAAGATAAAATATAAATATATACAATACAAATATGAACACACTGCAAAATGACGTGGGGGGGGGGTGCACAATAGTTAACAGGGGAATGTGATGATGTTCAGCTCCCACTTGAGGTCCTGTGTGACAGTGGTACCCAGAAAGCGGAAGTACTCCACAGGGGAGTCACACAGGGTGATGGGGGTGGGTGGGGCTGGGTTAGTTCTGAAGTCCACTATCATCTCCACTGCCTTAAGAGCGTTCAGCTCCAGATCAATCTCCCAGACTCATCCCCATCACAGATGAGTCCAATGAGGGTGACAAAAAAAGACATAGTATAGTAAGTCACAAAAACATCACAGTATTAGGAAGGCATATATTTTTACTTAGAGGACCAATTTTGCAGGGGGACTGCAGACCCCACCATTTCCATGTGTTAAGGTAGCTATAGCTTGTTAAAAACACTGATAACTTCTGCTGTGTGTTCTGTGGAATTACATGACTAGCTAGCACATTAGTGAACAATCTAATCAGAAGCTAGCATGTGAGTTTGGTCTGGACCACACTCATTACCCCAGGGGGCTCTGCCCTGTCCCAGAGGTCACATCTGAAATGCCTCCACGTCTGAAAATAAACTTTGTGGTTTATAGAAATACTGAAGAAAGTTTCATGCTTTAGTCATAAAATGCACAGTACTTTCCATATACAAGCTTATCTGCTGCACTTTAAAGTTGTAAAGCATCAGTATCAGCAGAAAAAAATTAAAGTAAACAAGGCTCTGTATAATCATTGCTGAGAAAATGTGTGTAATAAACAGCCTGTACTGTTTTGGCATCTAAACGGCAACATGATATTATAGGAAATCTTTGCCGAGCAGTGAGTTTTCTTCAGTTCAGAGAGCTGCATATTGACTGTCGATACAAGAGCAGTTTCTGCTTTTAACTGTGGAATTATGAAATATTGAGTATTTGAAGCTAGAAAATACACATTTACCATGTAATCCATCCGGATATCTGACTCAAACACCCTGTGAGAAAAATGTCTGACTGTAGGCACACAGACAGCTCACATGTACACATGTAGGCAGTCACAGCGTAGCTCCTCCCACCCCCTCTGTGGGCTGGTTTACTCACCTAGGCAGGTGTAGCAGAGAAACTCTCAGACACTGGATCCCTGCTCGGCTCCAGCTGGTCCTTCGAGTCAGAGGTGTGAAATCAGAGAGTGGAGGCAAAATGATGGCAACTTTATCCCTGACGGGCACCGTCACGTCCTGGCAGCAAACGGTAGGGCTGTAGAGTGCAGGAGTCCTTCATTCTGTTTTTTTGTGCCCTGTTGGAGTTAAATACAGCTGTAAGTCAAAGGTTTAATGACTCAACATATATTAGCAGATATTTTTTATGGCTCTGTTTCTTTATCAGTAAAATATGAAGTAAAGGTGACATGTCTGACGCTGGAGTCTCCTCAGATGCTTCATATCAGAAAAACTAACCTAATATTTGGAAATTGGAAAAATCAAGGATTTTGCATCAGAGTGAGATCTCTGTGTTTTGTCTGCTTCTCCAAGACAGACAGGCTGCTGTGTTTGTACAGGTGCCACTTTCTTAACCATCCACTCATGCCACAGAACACATGTGCCTTCACACATGCACGGACACATTATGCTGTTGAAACCTGTTTTGGTGATTAGTGGTTTGTAGGTGGAACCGTGTGAAATATCATTAATTATCAGCTCATCTGCTTCGCAACACAGTCGCCGTGTACAGGCCTCCAACAGGAATCTAAAATAGAATTACTGAAAGATTAAAAATTTAATTAAAGAAAAACAACAAAAAAGCACCTCCTGGTCCTCTGAAGTTATTTTAATACTTAGTGATCAACAATCGTGCCAGATTTGTTAATTCAGAGGTAAATGCATGAGTTCATAGGTAAAATATACAAAAAATAGAGCTCACAAAAATCGAACCAAAATCTACACAAGGATAATAAAACAAAATAAGCAGGAACAAGAACACAACCTCTTTGGCTAGTGTAATATGACTTCAGTTTGTTTCTAATAATACAGTACGATACATTTTGAAATTATGCACATTAAATGCTTTAAACTTGAAACAGTTACTGTGCCCGGTTTAGTCTGTTCACATATAAATGTGGGTGTTGCATGTTTCACTGTTTTGGTCATCAGCAGCAGGAGGAGGAGGAGGAGGAGGAGGGGGAGGAGGGTGTGTTGTGTTCGTGCGAGCATTTGTTTTGCGTGTTCTCTGTATGTCTTTTCTTACTATTGTCCTCTGTGCTGTCCATGAACACAATGGGACTCACACATTCAGATGTCTCAGTGAAATGCCTGCAGGAGGACATCTCTGCTTTCCAGACATATTACACCAGACAATCTCCTCCACAGTTTATAAAGCTCATCTCCAAGGAGCTAATAAATCAATCAGGAGTCAGTACATGTGCAGCTGCTTGAACTGCTCTTCTTTTTCATTAAAGCATGTCAGAATTCAGTCAGTGTGTCCTATAATGATTTTCTCTTCTTCTGATGTCTGTTTTTACAGAATGAGGAGAAGTCGCAGTCGGAGGTAAGTGTCAACCCGCCCACAGCACTTCTGCCCTCTTTAATTTTCTGTGTGTAGTGGCCGGACTTGTTGGAACATGGGGTTGTTTTCACAGTTGTATCCAGTTACATGTGTAACTATATTGTGACTGACCCTGTAACAGGCTGTTGTTCCTCTATGAGCACCTGTTTGCACCTGAATGTCGTCTTTTATGCATCTGCTGTGTTTCATCTCTTAATCTGAACATATCAGAGCTCAGATCTAGGAGCCTCCCTCATTTGTTGCTACAGTATTTTTGTGTCTGTGTGTGTGTTTGGTATTGAATGCTTTTATGGAGCCAGTACGTATGCTTTTATCTTGGTGCTTTTTGATGTGGCGCTTTTTACGTCTTCAGATCCGCAAGCTGCGCCGGGAGCTGGATGCCTCCCAGGAGAAGGTTTCCGCCCTGACGACACAGCTGAGCGCCAACGTAAGTGAACAAGCACTCACTCACACACACTCACTCACACACACACTCACATACATACATACACGTACAGTCTTCTTCTAGTGTTTATCTATCACTTATATAGCCAATATTTATATGTGTATTTTAACAACAAAGGGCTACACAGGTTTGCCCAAAAGTTTAATATAGTGTGATTTTTTAATGTGTCAAAATCAAACTAATAATTTCTGAAACTACATGTAATCGATATGTCATGACCTGAAGCAGACGTTTAAGGTGTTTTGCCAAAAGACAGTCTCCACTTAATGAAGTTGTGAAGTTTGCTGCTCCCAAACATTTCCAGAATATTCATCAAATACTGAACAGAGCACTTTACTCACAGAAGGTGTAATTTTACATCTGGCAGAACCATCAGAAAATCTCTTTAAGCGTCTCCAGACACGATCCTTTCTGCCACCTTAGCTTCTATATTGCACAAGTCTCGCCACGCTTCGCTTGTAATCTGCTGTCTGAGTCAGAGCACGCCGGCGGTTCGACTGTGGATTAGAGATATGGAGGAAAGGCAGAGGTGTTAGATTACAGTGGGGAGTCAAGTCTCAGCACACTGCTGAGGGACTGTCCCAGATGTGGACTGAAGATTTACAGTTAATGACGCCTGGATACAAGGAGTGGTGCGAGTGTTGAAAGAAAAACACAGAGCGAGAACAGTGGAGTTGAAAGTTGGGGGGGGGGTTATGTTCAAATATTTTATTACACACCGTAGACAGATGATGAATTATCTGAACACACCTTGGAGCCCCCGAGGCCGAGATTCTGAGAACATCTTCTGCTGCGAAAAGTCACGACGTCACTCATCACCTCATTCAACTCTCACACACACTTCCTTCAGGCAGGCGCACATCATTTGTATTTGCGGTCTAAAGTCTAATACAATAGAATGAAGGATGACTGCGCTCACTTAAACCAGCAAAATCTTTTAGAATTCATATTTGTTGTATACGTATTAATACATATATACTCACATTGTATTATTTTCTTTTGACAAGTGATGCTTATCTTCCATGTGTTTGCTCCCAAACCGAGTCTGAAGCCTTCTGTGTTTTCATCCCTTTGTCAGAAAGTCAATTTATCTCAGACGATCTCGGCCAGAAATCCATCAAATAAAGCTGGAACATAAAAATCACATAGCCTGTAGTCAGGAGAGGTTTATCTGATGACTTCATGTTGTCATCAGGACTGTCTCTGGTCTTCATGTGGATCTAGCTCCAAGGACTTTCAGTGAAGATGATGTAATGGTTTGGCTTCAGTGTTGGTGTTCGTGACTGACCTACAGGGGACGATCATTTATCAAAGGAAATTATGGTTTTCGCACAATTATTTGTGTTTGGTTATGTTTTCGTTTTGGTATGATGATTACACCATTACTCTGATGTCATGTTTGGCTTTTAGCGCCAAGGTTGAGGCAGTTTTTTTTTCTCATGTCCAGTTGCTCAGATGTAGTCGGCTGTGACGTCTTCACTCCTTCGTATTCTTAAACAAACTCTCCACATTCATGCGGTCATTAGCAATCCAGTTATCTCACTGTTAATGCCCTCAGCTCCGACTAAACACATTTGTAACCTGTCTGTTTCTCCTGCAGGCTCACCTGGTGGCAGCGTTTGAACAGAGTCTGGGCAACATGACCATTCGACTGAAGAGTCTCACCTTGACAGCAGAGCAGAAGGTGAACAGCTCGGCCTGCGCTGCTCACTAATCAAAGTGCACATTCACTCTCGCTGCAGTCGACCTCATCCTCTTCTCATTTTCTCTGTGTAGGACTCTGAGCTGAATGAGCTGAGGAAGACCATCGAGCTGCTGAAGAAGCAGAACGCCGTCGCTCAGGCCGCCATCAACGGAGTCATCAACACACCTGAACTCGCGCCTAAAGGGGACAGGACAGGTACAGACCAACGCGGCAAGCACTACGCGGAGCAAAGGATATTTGACATTTATATTTATAATTTGAATTTTGGTGCCAACATTTTAGAAACTGACTAAGAAAGATCCCACAATCTGTCCAAAGCAACTAGAACACAAAACTTTCAGTCCAAAATTTGGAGGCTGTGCGCGACACCTTTTGAGATTTAATGAAAGATATATTTCAGCCCAATACATAAACAATCACATGCCTGTCTCTCCTCAGCCGGCAGTAACGGCAGTCCACAACAACAGCAGCAGCAGCAGCAGAATCAGCAGCCGGACCTGCGCATCAGGAGGCAGCACTCCTCCGACAGCGTCAGCAGCGTCGCCAGCGCCACCAGCCATTCCAGTGTGGGCTCCAACCTGGACACTGACGCCAAGAACAAGAAGAAAAACAAGAAGAACTGGGTAAGATGAAAGATTCATTAAAAATGAGGAACTGTGAGAGACTCGATTTGAGTTTGTGATAAGTTACAAAAAAAAAAAACAGAAGGCAGCCAGGACGCCTGCTGGTTTGTTGTTTTAGTCTTTGTCTCTTTGTGTATTTCCATGTGTGTGTTGGCGTCACATGTTTGGGTTTCTGCCCCTTCAGGCATCTTTCACTGGAGAAAAGGTGAATACACTTAGGATTTCCATAGACTCTGTCCTGTTGAATATCACGTAATGGCTGATTTGGTGATTTGAAGATAAAAAAACAAAAAAAAATTAGACATTTGTAATAGAAGTGGAATAAAGGTGCTTGTATTGTAGTAGTCGTCTCTTTACCTGCAAATTACCAAATCAGTGCTTACTGGATAGTGTGTAGTCCTAATGTCAGCTCATTCATTGTTTTCATCTCATGTACTTTCACTTACAACTTTAAAGACAAGAACTTTTCCTTTTTGTTGTTGAAAGAGTTTTTTGTGCACCGGAGGACAAGTCAGAGATGATGAAGTATGCAGCTTTTTTTATTTCCTCTCTGTCCTGTAGACTGACGTGTTAGTCTCCTGTGGTTGTCCTATGATCCTGATGTTGTTGAATTTTCTAGGAAGAGCAGTGTGGTGCTGTCTGGTAGCTGTTAAAGCGTTTCCTGCTTTAGGTCACTGTGATAATAAATTAGCCTCCTGAGTGAGTGTGAGTGTGAGTGTGTGTGTGTGTGTGTATGTGTGTGTTTCCAGCTGTCAGTCTTTGTGTAGATGAGACCCCACAGAGGAGGGCCCCTTCATGCAGGTGCTGCTCACTCAGTGTGTGATATGGAGTGTATAGGGGCTGTGTGGAGAGTATATAATGGATCATGAAAGAGTCTCTGTTTTCACGGTGGCTGTGATGTAGAATTAGTTTGCAGCAAATGAAATCAGCTCTAGTCTTGTCGGGGCCTCGAGTTTAATCTCTGTCCCTCCATTAACACATTAACACACCCGAACCCATATGAACATGTGCTGTTTTGTCTCTGTGTCTTCCTCTGCTTCGCTTCATGTGGCAGGTCTATGAGGTAAGAATGGTATGCTGCGTGAAATGAAAGAAACAAAGCTGCCTAACCCCTGCGCCTTTTCTAGGTTACTAACCTCTGTCCTTTTCCTCCTGTCCTCTGCTGCCACTGTAGTGCCTTTCCTCCCCTCCTCAACACTGCTTCCCCTTGAGAACTGCTCTTATGACACTTGAGCCAGCTCTGGAAAGGAGAAATCCACCTGAAAATACTTGAACACTGAGAGAAAGAAAAAGGGTATTATTGATGCAGCTTGTGCCTCTGGGTCCACTTGTGGTGGTGAAACACAATGGACATGACATAATGTTGAAATATTTTAGAACAATATCTGGATTTGCTGCAGCTCCCTGACAATAAAAGAGGCTTTCTTTTAAAGTCTAAGTAAAATACTACACAGAGCAAAAGACACACCCTCATGAAATTATGATGATAAGAGTATCAAGTATTCACAGTGGATTTCTGCTTTAAACACAATCTCAAATCACGAGGAAATTGAACTGATTTTGAGATTTGACATTTGACTCTTGCATTACATGCAGTTTGAATATGGCTACGTTTTGGTTTTGACAGATTTGAACCAAGAGTTACACAGACAAGTGCAGCTTAGAAAACACTGAAGTGAAAAAAGTTCCTAATTATGCATCATAGTCTCTCCATGTAAGTTTAGAAAAAAATCAGAATTAAATACTGGTTATCAAAGCAGTCAACACTGTCACCTACTTCCCTTGAACGTTCTCCTATAATACATTAAGAAAGGTACCGCCGAATCAGATTTTCAGCATTTTTGAACATTAAAAAACAACTTTCTTTTAAAATAAAAAAAAGAGTCATACAGAGAGTATAAATCAGAGGTTATACACTAACACATTACACACACACAGGTTGTGTGTGTGTAATGTGTTTGTGTTCAGAGCTGAAGCTCAAGTCATAAGACAGACTACCCATATTTCCCTTTCTTTCCCTTTACTTTTTCACAGCTGTTTTCCTCCACTTCCCCCGGCACACTCTTCCTCTCCCTCTCAGCCTTGTGTATTTGGGAGTGTGTCCCTCACTTCCTCACCATCTCTCGCTCTCTCTTTCTTCCTGCAGCTGCGAAGCTCCTTCAAACAAGCGTTCAGCAAGAAGAAATCTCCAAAGTCGGCGTCTTCTCACTCCGACATCGAGGAGATGACGGACTCGTCTCTGCCGTCCTCCCCCAAACTGCCCCACAACGGCACGTCAGCCACCAGCCACATGCTCAGGAACACACACTCCAACACGCTGTATGTACACATCATCATCTGTATGTCATTGCGTGACCATTTTTATCCTACACAACAAACTCTGCTTGAATCACAATATTTCATGTCGCTAAATTATGTTGCACAGATTGTCAGAGTGTTTGGACAGCGAGGCGGAGACGGTGATGCAGCTGCGGAGCGAGCTCAGGGAGAAGGAGATGAAGCTGACAGACATCCGCCTGGAGGCTCTCAGCTCCGCCCATCAGCTGGACCAGCTCCGGGAGGCCATGAACCGCATGCAGGTCTGCGCACACACACACACACACACACACACACACACACACACACACACACACACACACACACACACAAAGCACTCACAGACTGTAGTTGACTGCTAAACTGCTAAAGCTCTGTGGTAAGACTTAAAACAATGATACAAACACATGGGATCATTTTTTCCTCAATTTTTCTTTTGTGTGTGTTTGTAGGTGGAGATTGAGAAACTGAAGGCGGAGAACGACCGTCTGAAGTTGGAGAACCAGGGCAGCAGAACAGGGTCCCAGGCCTCCATCTCATCTTCTCCTCCCCCTCACACAAACAGCCAGGCGCCGGGACCTGGGCTGTCCCAGCAGAGCCTCAACCTCACCACCAGTGAGTCCACCAGCCTGGGTAAGACAGAGCCCAATTTACAATGTGAATTTACATGCATTAAAGTAACTTTTAAAACATGGAAACAATCAAGTGATTTAAATCAGCCAGTGACTCAAATATTTAACTAATAACCATGTTAATGGAGAAGTCCTTGGAAATGTAGAAACCTCGTCTGACTCGCTCTTCCCTCCTGTCAGACATGCTGCTGGATGACACCGGCGGAGAGGGAGGGATGAGGAAGGAGGGGAGACACGTCAAGATCGTCGTCAGCCTGGACGAGGACAGGAAGTGGGGAGAGGTGAGACCAGTTTGAAAAATACAATGAAAACTGTTGTTTATTGGTTATGATTGTGTTACCTGTCGGCTTCTTGGTTTCTAAAACCAGTCATGCTTTTCAATCTCAGGAGGGCCGGCCACGCCACTTTCTGATTGGCTGCATTGGTGTGAGCGGTAAAACCAAGTGGGACGTTCTGGACGGAGTGGTCCGACGCCTTTTCAAGGTAAACGAGCTATAAACACAGAATCAGATAACAACACAGTGTCAGAAACATCTTGACACGGTGTAGTTCTTAGACGTCTCCTAGTTTTCAAAGGTATCTAAAAGTATTGAGTGTCTAGTCTAGTTTTCTACTATGACAAAAAAATATTCACAGTTGTTAAAAAGGCAATTTTCTCAATCACACACTGAAGTTTGCTTCTGTTCACCAACAGAAGAGACATTAGAGCGCTGGTATTATATAGAAACTAATCACAAAGACAAACTTTGAATCCTTTAAAAAGCTGCTAAATGTAGAAACTGTGTGTGTGACAGGAGTACATTACCCACGTGGACCCTGTGAGCCAGCTGGGCCTGAGCTCAGACAGTGTGGAGGGATACAACATCGGAGAGATCCACCGGCACAGCAGCCTCAGCGCCGCCCACACACCCGAGCTGCTGCCCTGCGGCTACCTGGTGGGAGACAGCAACACCATCAGCATCCAGCTCAAAGGTACCGAGGCCTCGTAAAGTCAAGGCTGCAAATGGTTACACTGTGCTGCTGCCTCCAGTCAAAGACGTTATTTGATCTTTAACAGTCTGTTGATCGATAGAAGGATAAAACCAGTTCTAATTTCATTGTGCTGGTAAATCAAAGCAGATATCTTACGTCAGATATTTCCAGAAACTCATCATCCATTGTCTGCAGATCGGTTTTCTCCACTGACATGAACATCCTGATGTTTGTGTGTGTGTGTCCAGGTGTGAGCACTGAGAACGTGGACTCGCTGGTGTTCGACACTCTGATCCCGAAGCCGATGCTGCAGCGCTACGTCTCCCTGCTGAAGGAGCACAGACGAGTCATCCTGTCGGGCCCCAGCGGCACGGGGAAGACATACCTGGCCAATCAGCTGTCTCGACACCTGCTGCTGCTGGAGGGCCGACCTCTGACCCCGCACGCTGTTGTCACGTTTAATGTGGACCACAAGTCCAGCAAGGTAAACACACAAAACAAAATCGAAATTGAAATTTAACATCAAAATGGACTGACTTTAATTCTGTTGCAGTTTCTGTTAAATTACAAATTCTATTGTCATACTTCAAATAGGAGCCACAACAACTGAAAACAAAGTCCCTATAAAAATAACTACACACTGTTTTAAATTAAAGGCCGTGGGAAGGTATTGTGTGTAAAGGTAAAATTAATTACTATGAGAGAAAGCCATAGTGACTTGACAGGAACGTTCTGCACATTTTTTAAGATTTGAAAAATATATTAAATACAAATTCAAAATGTATGATACAAAATAGTATTTTGACATTAGTAATGTTTTGAGAAAGTAGAGCACCAGATGGATAATTTAACACATCAGGACAAAGAGCTCAATATTGACCTTCTAACCTCTCAACTTTTTGACTCTGTTGCTCCAAGATAAAAAAATTGCTAATGGTTACATGGTTTTAAATGTTCTCTCTCTCTCTGTAGGAACTGCGTCAGTACCTGTCAGGTTTGGCCGAGCAGTGCAGCGGTGTGCCGGGGGTGGAGAGCCCTCTGGTGGTCATTCTGGACAACCTGCACCATGTCAGCTCCCTGGGAGAGATCTTCAACGGCCTCTTCAACTGCAACTACCAGCACTGGTCAGTTCACTCACTCACACACACACACACACACACACACACACACGTTCGTCTTTATCTAAAAATGAATGTTTGCATGAATGTGGATAGTGTAACCAAAAGATGTTTCACTTCACTTGTGACTAAATGTTTTTAATTCAAAGTAGAGCCCTGTTAACTCTCTCAACTGTTCTACATCACACATGTCCAGGACTGATTTTAACCAATGAGACACAGTAATATTCAGTGTGTTTCTCTCCTCTCAGCCCCTACATTATTGGCACCATGAGCCAAGCCACGTCGTCTGCCCCCAACCTGCAGCTTCACCACAACTTCAGGTAAACCGCTGCGGATCTCCCCCTCACACTCCTGGCAGCTGGATGTTGAAACATTCACTTGGTCTAAAACATTTGTGGGAAAGTTTTTAACACTTTGCATGATGTACCTGTGTGTTGTCTGACCAGGTGGGTGCTGTGTGCCAACCACATGGAGCCAGTGAAAGGCTTCCTCGGTCGCTACCTGAGGAGGAAGCTGATCGAGACGGAGATCGGCAGCCGAACGCGCAACATGGAGCTGGTGAAGATCATTGACTGGATCCCGCGGGTTTGGCACCACCTCAACCGCTTCCTGGAGACACACAGCTCCTCCGACGTCACCATCGGTAAGAGGACTTTGCACGACTGATGAAGGGTCAGTTCATTAAAGTCAGCCCAGAAACGGCCGGCGTCTTACCTCTCTGTTCTGTGCTGTGCAGGACCTCGTCTCTTCCTGTCGTGTCCCATGGATGTGGAGGGATCCAGGGTTTGGTTCACTGACCTCTGGAACTACTCCATCATCCCCTACATGCTGGAGGCCGTGCGGGAGGGACTGCAGGTAACAACATCACACACAGTTGGTTTGTTTTCCCAAAGAACAGCTGGTCCAGTTTCTGTTGGTGCCTCCGATGTGGGATTTTCACAATATTTTTTATAGGCAACAATAAAACTAATTAATAACGAAACTTGATTTGACGTCCTGAGGGGATGTTTAATCTGAATGCAGGGGAAGTGTAATGAGTTTGAGAAAGATGGAATTGTTCAGATTTGCCCTCTCGGAGGACCAGGGTTATGTTCATCAAAGTGAAATGGATTCAATTTGTACTATTAATCTGCATTTAATTAGGCAGCAGCTAATTACCACAGTGCAACCTGTGAGTGAAGGGGATGCTGACAGGCAGAGTTCAGTAGAGGAATTTGTCTCTCATCAGCTTAGAGGAGAAACCACTATGTAGTCAAACTAAAATGGAAATACTTTTTTTTTTTACTGAGTGAAAAATCTCCACATGAAAAACTTCTCTTGGTATCTGATATTTTAAAAATGAGAAAAAGTATCTTTAGCTGTTCATATGTATTTAAAACAAATCTAAAATAAGAAAAACCTGTAAAGAAATTAAACAGCTACAAGCAGCTTTTAACTAAATCACAGCAGCTTTCAGTTTTGCCTGTTGTCATTGAGGTTTATGTTTTTAAGAGGCAGAGACATCTTCAAACAAAACCTCAGACATCAGACAAATCTGCCTCGGAGCATCTTCCAGTATTTTTCAGTCTCATCTTGTGTGTCTCTGTAGTTGTATGGCCGCAGGGCTGCATGGGAGGACCCGGCTGCTTGGGTGATTGACACCTACCCGTGGTCAGCCACGCCCACTCCAGCTGATTGGCCCCCGCTGCTGCAGCTCCGCCCAGAGGATGTGGGGTTCGATGGCTACTCTGCCCCGAGAGAAGGAGTCAGGAAAGAGCCCCCACAGAGTGACAGCGACGCAGACCCACTGGTGAGCAAAAAATACACATGAAGAAGAACGTCTGTTAGCGAGCATTTAAACAACTAGGCAGGTTAGTCATGCACAAATACATTGAAACATAAGAAATTTAAGTCTAAACACCTGTCGTCTATGTTGTTTCCATAAACTCCCTCCTCAGCGTCAGAGAGGCAGTTCATATTTTTAATGGAAGATGGAGAGTCAAATAAAATAATCAGAAACTTACAGTCTTTGAAGAGAACGGGTGCTTGTTCCATCTCTGAGTTGTGAAGTTCGATCAGACTGACTCTTGTTTTGCCGACAGATGAACATGCTGATGCGTCTGAAGGAGGCGGCGACGTCGTCGAGCCCGCAGAGCTACGACAGCGACTCCAACAGCAACAGCCACCAGGACGACATCCTGGACTCGTCGCTGGAGTCGACCCTGTGATGCCATCAAAACGCAACACTGGGATCAGTTTTCAGGAGAAACTTTTTATAAGAAATGTTCTCGCTCTGAGGACGTCTTGTTCAGAGCATAATTTCATGCCACAAAATCCAGCCACCTTAATTTGGGTGCAGGTAACCCAAATATTTAAAAAGAAAAATAAAGTTAAAATTGCATTTCAGAAAACGGGCAACAAAAGTTTCTACTGCACTGCGCTGTTTTGTTTTGTGTTTTTGTTTTTTTTTCACCGCTGTGGCCCGTGGCTCCTGTCAGGAGCCTGACATCTACTTCAGACAGACAGAATAAAAGCACACAGCCTGTCACTGTTAGTGAGGCATCATCATTACCATCGTCATCCAGCCATCAGCGTACGTAAACACCAGCCAGGAATCCTCCATCCTTCACTGAGCCGCAGCTCCAGCTCATCGGGCTGAGATACTCCTGGTCCTGCCTCGCTGCAGTGCGCCTGCGCTGCCTGCAGATGGCGGTACACGCCCTTGTCTCTCCAGCATCAGTGAGCCTGAGCTACAAGCTGCTGAGAGCAAACATGAGGCTGCAGTGAGTTGGACGGATGAACAGCCAGCCACTTCCTGCTTCTGCTTCTCCTCCTCCTCTGCTGCTGCTGAAGTTGCATGTGTGATTGCTGGAGGAGAAACTAAGTTTAAGAGCCAAGAGCCAAAGTGAATGTTAAGTCCTGCAGAGTGCCTGCACTCACTTCCCAAAACTCCTGAGATCATTCATTAAAAAAAAAGTAATAAAGAAGATGAGTGTCCACAAAAAATAATTAAGAGAGTACTGTTAAAAATAGTTCCTACCAGATACATGTTTTGAGTTAAATTCAGAGCCCTTAGTGGACAAAAAACGATGAGAACTGGTGTGTTTACGTAAAGGAATTCATGATATAAACATGGTAACAAACACTGGTGGCAACATTGCTTCACCAGAACAATGTCAAACTCTGTGGAAAAACATTTCCAAACTAAAGAAACAAGCAAGACAAGGTCAGTTTAACCAAAAAAACCTCACCACAATCCTGCTGATACTGTTTCTCCTGGAGTTGACACATCATATGGCATCAAGGTCCTCAGTGGTTACATCCTGCCTTGTGGCTGAGAAACCATTGTTCCACCAAAAGTAGTTCCTCTGAAATGGAGCACAATAACTTAGTGAGTGTGTGCATTTTCTCAGCCAAAGGCACAACTGTAAACACAGACGCCAGTCAAACCTACTGGAAATAAAAAGCTTATCCAGTATAAAATCTGCAGCTAATTTTACAGAGCAAAGTAAAATCTCTCTGAAGACCTGGTTCTCGGAAAAAACAAAGACTTTCAGGAGGAAATGGTGCTGACTGAGAAATTAACATTCACCACGGCTCGATATATCCTTTTAACAGTGTTTGAGATAATGTCCTTTTCTATCTGTGTTGTATCTTTCCGTGTAGTTTCACAAATAACGCCTCGACCACTTCTAAGTTCTCGCTTTAACCCCTCACAATCCTTTGAGATCTCCATGCACGTTGGCCCAAGCAGGCTGTTGTAGCACAACTCTCTTTTGGTGCTGGACTGAATTATAACAAACAATGCCTTACTCTTTTTCGAACAGACTATGTGCATTAGCTGATTCTTTATTTGTCTAAATGGCTGTAAACTTAACAGGGCTCCGAGTCAAGCGGCGGTTGACCTCGCATCATATCAAACACCAATGCCGTGGGATTGAAGAGACGTGAATGAGAAGCAGTACTTTGGGTTTTTAAATTAAATTGTATGCATGTATGAACCCAGTGCTGAGACGCTGGTGTAAATATTTGGACCTCTAGCAGGAAAGAAAAACGTATAGATGTGTTTTTCGGTGCTCGAAATCAGAAGCGTTTGCAGGTTGATCGGATGAAGGAAGTTTAAGAAGATGCGCTGATTTTATACCTCATCTCCATCCTTCAACTATGCTTTCGCCACACTCCTTGTCTGTTCTGATTATGTGATTTGTGATGATCAAAACTGTCATAACAAACATGTTGAACTAATTAAGTAAGAACTAGTGTATATGCTGCTTTGTTTATAATGATATAATTAATTGGAGGTTTAAAGGTATAAAGGTACTTGTGGTTGGATGATAATGTAAAAGTTTTAACATCATTTCTATGGCTTAAAAAAAAAAAAATAAAGTTATTGTACTTTTTGTTGTTGTTGGAAACCTCCCAGCCTGCCTTCTGGGAAAGGGCGGGCAGACGTTAAAGCTGGGGTCATGTCGTTCAGCGCGGCTTCCATCACTTTCAGTGTTTTTGTCACCGATGCTATGCAACATTCATTCTGATCTCCAAATGGAAGCCAAAAGCTCGACGTGCGTTTGTGTGTCCCCGTCCCTCCCCCGGCGCAGATTTCAGCACTGCCGAGACCTAAAGCATGGAACCAGATTTGTGAAGACTTCTTCGGATTTGTGGCAAACGTTCTTTGTCCATATGTGTGTCTGTGTAATTCATAGAGGCTCTCCTGCTACAGTCCTTGTGAGCACAAAGAGGCTGACTGTGTTTGTCTTGTGAAAAGCTCTGAGAGGTGTGGATGTTGTTGAAGCATTTGACCGGTCTGTGTGTTTATTACTCACAAACTCAATGAATGTTTAGCCTTCTTTGCTATGTACATTTTTTATATGTAACATAACTCTGTAAATAGTTGGTTATCTTGCAGCATTTTGATGACTTTTTCTAGCTGATTTGTTACAGTACTTGAAGAGGAGTATTTTGTGTACAGTCTCTTTACATCAGAGCAGATTGATGCCGTTTGTCATCACTGGTCTGTCCAGGGCTCGAGAATTAAATCTGATATCACTGTACTAGTCTTAAGTTATTGTGATCCAATAAAATTAATGATTATTTATGATTTAATTATTTCAAACTGTCCATTTTTGTTCTACACAAAACAAACACACGCAGCCATTGGAATTGTTTACAATTTTATTTGGTGTTTATACAAAAAAATGTGAAATAAACATATATACAGCGCATAATACAACATACTTATTAAACAGATTCATATAAATTATTAACGAAATAGCTACATTTTTCAATAAACAACTCTATTCAAGGTCAAGGCAAAAGTAACTCAATATTCTTGGCATAAAATTTCCATACAAAATTGTACAAAATACTGTACAATTGAACAAAGCTGTGCAAAACAGCAAATTGTATCTCAGAAGCAGATCCTGATGAAGCAACAGACTGAAGTGAAACTTAGTTTTTGAACATTGACATTTATGGGGTTTGTCTCTTACAAATCTGGTCACAGTCTCATATAAAAACAGAACGTGGGTTATATCTCTATATTGGCTTTTTTTTTTTTTTAAATAAATTAAGATACTGTTATTTCTTCTTCATCTGACTCTGAGAAGTCTGAGTGCTTACTGGAGAGAGAAGGAGAGGAGATGCTGGATCCTGCCGACCTCATTCTCTCTCTACCGAACTCTTCCTCCTCCTCCTCCTCTTCCTCGGCTGAGAAATGGTGCTGACTGAGAAATTAACATTCACCACGGCTCGATATATCCTTTTACAACAGTGTTTGAGATAATGTCCTTTTCTATCTGTGTTGTATCTTTCCGTGTAGTTTCACAAATAACGCCTCGACCACTTCTAAGTCCTCGCTTTAACCCCTCACAATCCTTTGAGATCTCCATGCACGTTGGCCCAAGCAGGCTGTTGTAGCACAACTCTCTTTTGGTGCTGGACTGAATTATAACAAACAATGCCTTACTCTTTTTTCGAACAGACTATGTGCATTAGCTGATTCTTTATTTGTCTAAATGGCTGTAAACTTAACAGGGCTCCGAGTCAAGCGGCGGTTGACCTCGCATCATATCAAACACCAATGCCGTGGGATTGAAGAGACGTGAATGAGAAGCAGTACTTTGGGTTTTTAAATTAAATTGTATGCATGTATGAACCCAGTGCTGAGACGCTGGTGTAAATATTTGGACCTCTAGCAGGAAAGAAAAACGTATAGATGTGTTTTTCGGTGCTCGAAATCAGAAGCGTTTGCAGGTTGATCGGATGAAGGAAGTTTAAGAAGATGCGCTGATTTTATACCTCATCTCCATCCTTCAACTATGCTTTCGCCACACTCCTTGTCTGTTCTGATTATGTGATTTGTGATGATCAAAACTGTCATAACAAACATGTTGAACTAATTAAGTAAGAACTAGTGTATATGCTGCTTTGTTTATAATGATATAATTAATTGGAGGTTTAAAGGTATAAAGGTACTTGTGGTTGGATGATAATGTAAAAGTTTTAACATCATTTCTATGGCTTAAAAAAAAAAAAATAAAGTTATTGTACTTTTTGTTGTTGTTGGAAACCTCCCAGCCTGCCTTCTGGGAAAGGCGGGGCAGACGTTAAAGCTGGGTCATGTCGTTCAGCGCGGCTTCCATCACTTTCAGTGTTTTTGTCACCGATGCTATGCAACATTCATTCTGATCTCCAAATGGAAGCCAAAAGCTCGACGTGCGTTTGTGTGTCCCGTCCCTCCCCCGGCGCAGATTTCAGCACTGCCGAGACCTAAAGCATGGAACCAGATTTGTGAAGACTCTTCGGATTTGTGGCAAACGTTCTTTGTCCATATGTGTGTCTGTGTAATTCATAGAGGCTCTCCTGCTACAGTCCTTGTGAGCACAAAGAGGCTGACTGTGTTTGTCTTGTGAAAAGCTCTGAGAGGTGTGGATGTTGGTTGAAGCATTTGACCGTGCTGTGTGTTTATTACTCACAAACTCAATGAATGTTTAGCCTTCTTTGCTATGTACATTTTTTATATGTAACATACTCTCTGTAAATAGTTGGTTATCTTGCAGCATTTTGATGACTTTTTCTAGCTGATTTGTTACAGTACTTGAAGAGGAGTATTTTGTGTACAGTCTCTTTACATCAGAGCAGATTGATGCCGTTTGTCATCACTGGTCTGTCCAGGGCTCGAGAATTAAATCTGATATCACTGTACTAGTCTTAAGTTATTGTGATCCAATAAAATTAATGATTATTTATGATTTAATTATTTCAAACTGTCCATTTTTGTTCTACACAAAACAAACACACGCAGCCATTGGAATTGTTTACAATTTTATTTGGTGTTTATACAAAAAAATGTGAAATAAACATATATACAGCGCATAATACAACATACTTATTAAACAGATTCATATAAATTATTAACGAAATAGCTACATTTTTAAATAAACAAACTCTATTCAAGGTCAAGGCAAAAGTAACTCAATATTCTTGAATAAAATTTCCATACAAAATTGTACAAAAATCTGTACAATTGAACAAAGCTGTGCAAAACAGAAAATTGTATCTCAGAAGCAGATCCTGATGAAGCAACAGACTGAAGTGAAACTTAGTTTTTGAACATTGACATTTATGGGGTTTGTCTCTTACAAATCTGGTCACAGTCTCATATAAAAACAGAACGTGGGTTATATCTCTATATTGGCTTTTTTTTTTTTTTTTTTT